GGAGTTTGGAGAGCTTTAGTAATGCTGTTTTGCATATCTCTCTGTTTAGTAGTAGTCGTAGTACAGTTCTCCGTGTCCTGAATAGCAACCGGGTTTGCTAGGCATAGCCACCTCATGTTCGCCTGTTGTTCTCTATTTATATGGGTCTATCTAATTTGCATACGATACTACACCTCCCTGAATCGGAGAGGTCGTATACCATTGTTTTTTTCTTTTACTATTCCTGATTACTTTCGTATTGTGTTGTCTTTCCTCTTGTCTTTCTTGTTTTCTCTTTAATGGTGATCTCAGTCCCTCTTCATTTTCTTCTTCATACTCGTCCGTCTTTTCATTCTCACTTTCTTCCATTTTCTGCTCTGTCCCACTTTTGTAACTTTCTGTCTCTTCTTGTTCTTGATCTTCCATTTCTACGTCATCCATTTCATTTCTGCTTTTGAACTAATCTGCATGTGCCAGTATATGCTGTCCCTTTTTCTCAAGTATAGCCGTGTTGTGTCCTTTTTGTATCAGGAAATTTGCTTCTTCTGGATCAGCCTCTTTTCTTCTTTCTATACCATACCTTTTCTTTCCTTGAAAAGGACATTGTTTTTTTTTTGTCTTCCATTAATGCCGAAGAGCTCAGTTTTCTTCTCGCATGTGGAATGGATCTGTAACTGAGAAGCATTTTTGGTAAATACGCTTCTATGCTTTCATTAAGTGGTGATAATTCTTTTAATCCCATTTTTACCTTTTGATTCTTTATGCAATGTCATTAGATTGTGGGTGATATGATGGCGTCTTGTATGGGTTGCATCCAATATATTTTAACCATACACATAAGTTCTCATAGCAAAATTTGGTTGCATTGTCGGTGACTAATGTCTGGGGTACTCCATTCCTTGTGAATATAGCTCTTAGTACTTTCTTTATTGTGGTGGCTTTTCTGTCTTTTACTCTGACAACCTCCAGCCATCCTGAATATGAGTTCACTAATAAGAACAATCCCCTATTTTTGATATGTGCGTAATCCATGTAGACCCTAACCCATGGCTCTGCTTCCTTAGGCCATGAGTGAATTTTTGCTTGTTTGAAGTCTTTTTATTTCTGCACATTTTGGGCATCTCTTAATATATTCCTCTACATCTTTTGAATATTCTGGCCACCAGGCTTGCAACTTTAGTCTTTTTTTCTGTTATGCCACAATGCATCTCATTATCTACTCCCTTTAATATGTCCCTTCTCAGTATTTCTGGAGATACTATTATATCCCCATTGCATATTATGCCATTTTCTATGGTTAGTTTGTGTTTCGTTTCTTTAAAGGGTCGCTCCACCATTGAACAATAACTCTATATATTATTTTTGGTTGGTTAAATTCTCTAATCAACTCTAATTGTTGTAAAACCTCGACGCTAGCTGCCAAACTCATGTTACTACTCTGTAAACACTCCAGTATTTTTCGTTTGTTGTTTTGGTTTTGCAAACCTTCAATTATTCTGAGAAGAATTAATTCGTCTTCTATAGTCATTTCCTGAGTGCCCAACTTTTCAAATTCACAATACTTGGCTCGTTTTTCAATCTATGTAAGTATTGTATAATGGACTCACTGTGTGCTTGTCTTGTCTCTAAAAACTTAGTTCTTTCAGCAATGACCAATCTTTTCTTGGATCTTATGCTCTTTTTTATAATTTTTACAATTTCTTCAAATGTCATTTCTTCTAATTCCATTGGGTAAGTCATTGTTGAAATTTTCTTCACAGCTTCGCACCCAGCAGTAGCAAGAAATAAATCTGTTATCTCGTTATCCCCTCCGTCGGTGTTTCGTCTTAATTTTTTCACACTTGCAAATGAGGCAAAAGTTCTTATCCATGTTTCTATGTGTGTAGGCGGAAACATGACCTTGGCATTATTGGACCAATAAGAATATGTCAGTTGCTGAAAACTTGGATTGGAGCTTATATGTGTTTAGCTGTGCAAGATTTTAGAACTTTGCACGTGAAGATAAACATAATAGAATTTTCCTATTTATTGTCCAATCAAAACGTTGTTTGATGACATCATTATGGAAACTTAGGTGTGATCCAATGAAATGTAGAAGTTAGATTCTACAGACATATTATGGTGGATGTAGTAAGAATGGTAAATAAAAATGTGTTGTTTTGGTCTAAGTAATATTGTGGTATGTTTGGATCAGTGATTGTAGCGAGCCAAGTTTAATTATAAGACCAGCTTTTCCCATTAACCCTTTTGGTTGTGTGCCACATATTTTTTATTTTATACAAAATAAAGATTATTTTCATGTGGCCTGTGTGTACCCGCTTGGGTTCTCCACGTAAACCTGACCTTGTGTCACATCCAGTTTCAGTGGGGAGACCAGGGTAAAAAATACTTACCTGATATGCTTTCCTATGTATGTAGACTTTACGAATTTAAGCGCAGATCTAACTTGGCAGCTATGTTTCATCATTCTACAGTTGAATTTGCTAGATGTGACCGTAAGTTCTATGTTAACAGTTTCTTAATAAGTATGTTCCTGGTAATTGTTTTGATGAGCTATCCTCTTTGGGACCTAGACTTTATGAATTTAAGAGCAGTACTAGATTGGCAGCTAGGTCTCATCATTTTATAGTTGAAATGGCTAGATGTAACCATGAGTTCTATGCTAACAGTTTCTTAATCTGATAAGTATGTTCATGGTAATTGTTTTGATGAGCTATCCTCTTTGGTACCTAGGCTTTGTAGTGGCTGTGATGTTGTTGAGTAGACGTAGAAGAACACATGTGGGGTTCAGATTTTCCTGCTAGCCGGTCCAACTACATGAAAAGGCTGGACTTTAATTAAGTCCAAAGAATGCAAAGAAAACAAACACAAGACCGATAAACATACGTATACAAATATATATATTAATAACAAGTTACATGGAACAATTACAAAGGACAAAGTGTGTGTGTGAATATTATATAAGTGCGTGTGTGTATGTGTATTGTGCTTAGCGTGTTCCCAGCATTTGGGAAACGCTATCTCTGTGAGCGTTCACATCTTCGAGGTAATAAGGCTGAAAGCCTGAGGAAAAAAAGAGAGATTTACCTCCAGGTGTTGGCCCAAAGGTCTGAGGGAAAAAGAGGAAGAGGCGAAGGGTCAGCGACTATTTATAGCCAGGGAAGAGAGACCCCTGGTGAAAGGGTTAACGAACTAAAGGAGGTGTTAACTCCGACAACTTTATGAATTTAAGAGCAGTACTAGATTGGCAGCTAGGTCTCAACATTTTACATTTTTTATGGCTAGATTAACTGTAAGTTCTGTTCTAAGTTTTTTCTCTCTCACTTTTGACTGGATTTAAATTTTTTTTTCTTCCCAAACACGATAAATCTACGGAATTTTTAATCTACGTTCATTTTCATATTTTATTTTTTTCACGACTTCAATCAGTAATAATAACAGTGGATAATACTTCATCTAATAATAGACTAAAATAAAATGAAATTAATGTTTCTACACATTGTGAATACCGTAGAATACGTATTTTATTAAAGTATTAACTAAGGGAAGTAATCCAGCATTCGAATTTAATGAGTTACTTCGCTACATAGAATTTGTAATTTTATTTTTGTGCTTGAATTCAGAAAACGATGATAGAAGTCTCTTGACGCGAAGTTTCCAGCCTCATATCTTGTAAAATGTTAGGGAAATCTTAGAAGTGTTTAAAGCTTTTGGTTGATTGTACAGTCATTCAACTGCGGGAATATGTTTCTCAAGCGTTAGAAAATCCACAAACCAGAAAGATAATGTTCTACGTGAATTCATGAAAACAAATATCGATTAGTAATATAAGCTATTTAAATTTAATAACCAACGTAAAATTAGAAAAAAAATCTAATGAATCATTTTTAATGTGAATAAAATGAAATAGAATAATTAAATAAATGATAAGCTACTTTAATTGTAATGAACTTATATATATATAACAGTCACTGATTAAGTTTTTGGCAGTTATCCCCCATTTGGTCTGACAAGTCGCCGCTAGGTGGCGTTAAGTACTATAAAAGGACTAACATGTCTGCTTTTTTTTCTTTCTTTCTCCCTTTCATGCGGTAGGTAGCAAAAATCGAACAAAGGACTTATTCCCGAAGGGGATTATTTCTTTCCCTAAGATGGAACTTTCACACACACAAATTTACTAAGAGTTGTAGGGACATAATTATTATAAATAAATAAAAATAATAATAATGAAAATTATAAATAAAATAAAACAAAACAATAACATTTAACCTTTGTTTAAAATAAATAAATAAAAAAATTCACTCAGCATGCAGCAAAAACTGTTCCTACCGGAAATACGGACATCCCGCCAAAAGACGTTAAGTTCAATCTCTTCACGAACCTTGGTACGGACAACATGTGTCCAACTTCTCTCTATGATATGGCGTGTAATAATACAGAGTGACTTCTTCCTTTTATCACACGTACTATGAAATAATTGTAGCCTAAAAATGCATACACCAATACATCCCCCAAAATATAAGTAAATTGTATGAAATTAACATACAATTTGCAATGTTTTCCTGTTATTTGTGTACGTTTAATTCCCTTTCAAGTATGCTTTTATCTCCATGAACACGAGGCTAATTTCTACTTCTATGTTGTGAGTGACCCCACACAATTAAGCTTAATGGCTTTCCTTCGTTTTAGTCTATGAATACACTAGTATATTTCTCTCTTTGGCAATCCTTTATTAGTGCTATAAAAATACAAGAAAATATTTCCGAGTTGAAATTCATTCCTTACACTTATTTCATATTCACTCCATTTCCTTTTGCATCTGCAAATAATGACAACCCGTCATTTAAGTATAAAAATTTTGTTTGTCACTGTCTTTAGTTGAGCTTGTTGTGGGAATGGAAAATATGATCAGTCTATTTGAGGTGTTATCATCCTCTGCTGATAAAGCTGAATGCTTTGCCTACAAATTCTCCTCAAACTCTACTCTTGACCAGAATATCCCTGCCTAACTTCCCACTTAGGTTTGGTATGGTTTGTTTTATGGCATATCAACCTCAATGGGTTATTTAATATCAATCTATTCATTTTTACTGACGGTAATATTTTTTTATCTATCTATCTATCTATCTATCTATCTATCTATCTCAACATGCCACCCAGTGAGAATCAAATTATCTATAATATATCTCATCTATCTATCTATCTATCAACCAATGTTCATTATCTATCTATCTATCTATTATCTATCAACAATCCATTCATCTATCTATCTATCTATCTAACATGTTCATTATCTATCTATCTATCTATCTATCTCAACATGTTCATTATCTATCTATCTATCTATCTATCTCAACATGTTCATTATCTATCTATCTATCTATCTATCTTCTATCTATGCCACTTTAGTTCCGCTATCATTCTCTCTTCTATCTATCTATCTATCTTAACATGTTCATTATCTATCTTGGTCTCTTCATGTCTATAAATGAGTCTCTGCTGAGTGATATGTATATAACACCTTCCATGATTTCTGCTATCATCTGTAACCTAGATCCCAACAAAGCATGTGGACCCAATGACATCCCTGTAATAGTCATAAAGAAGTGTGCTCCCTTTATCTCCATGCGCGTTTTTGAGCTGATCCAATCGTTCCTATCAAATCGTGAAGTTATCCTGAGCGGTCTCTTCTCGACATCCTTTCGTACTAACCCGGGTATCTCTCAGGGCTCCATCCTTGGTCCTATGCTGTTTTTAATCTTCATTAACGACCTTCCCGATGACATCAGCTCTCAACTTGGCATCTATGCTGACGACACTACTATTTACTCCTTCCTCGATAGTAAGGCTGATCAGTCAGACAAGGTCAAAATGGCAGCCGATGTACAAAATGACCTCAAAACAATTTCCCATAGGTTCGCGAATTTATTTCCTCCTTCTCTTCAACTCACCAGTCAGTTTCTGTGAAGGCAAGGTTTTCATTGGTTCAAAGAAAATTTCATATAGGCTGGCCAATTCCTTTCCATTTTTTCCCCTTAGTCCTCCGAATTTCAAGGAAGGGGATAAGGGGAGTTATTATTTCGCACTCGCTACAAATCCATGTCTCTCTCCTTCTAGTGAAATGAGAATATGCTGTAGAGATGTTGGAATCTTCAAAAATGAACCGGTTTCATTTGGACCGTGTTTCGAAAACGAGACGAGTCCAATATTCTTAATTTTTACTGACATCTACCGTATTTTCCGGCTTACAAGTCGTGTGCGTCTTCCAAGACGAATGTAAGGCAACGCCCAGGCTCAAGTAAGCTTGGACGTTCACCTAATTGGCTTGAGTGATAGGGACGTGGATTTGTATGTTGAGTATTCCACTATAATGTTAGCTAGCTATCTAATTCAGCTTTTTATATGATGTAATCTCAGTACTTAGCTGTTACAAGTATTTCCAAGACTATAAACCTTCCTTGAGCTGAGCCACATGCTTAAACATGCTCTGTTTACTAGCAGCAGTGGAAGCCTTTCTGCTCTTGACTAGTATGTCATTGCCATACAAACAAAATCGGACGAGTGATTAATGTAAACAATATGTGGCGCTAGTATGTGAGGGACGCATGGTGAATGTGTTGTATGAGAATGGCTCTTTTTTCTTAGAAATTTCTTTCCAATATTAGGGTGCATCTTCCATGCTGCAGCATCTTGTAAACCGGTAAATACGGTAATTATGAAGAAATTTAGTATAAAGTTAGGAAAATGTATAACAAAGTGGAAATGTGTGTGTGTGTGTGTGTGTGTGTGTGTGTGTGAGACACGTTTCATCTTTAGGGGCTTGTAGTGAACTCCCTGGAGGAGGCGCGATATAACATGGTCTGTGCGCCTCAATAAGGCATAGAGGTCACAAGGGGCTCACTAACATTTTAAAAAGAAAAGGCGTGAAATCTGACGGGTGGGACAAAAATGTACAACAGAACGACAAACTTAAAATTTAATAAAAAATTTATTTAGAATATAGACCAGAGTTCTTGTAGGTTAAGTTGGCATGTAAGTCCACAGTTAGAAGGTTAAGTTCAATGACGAATTCTCCATATTATTTTAACCGGAATGTACGGGGTAGGTTATTTGAAGTCTGGATGATATAGCAAAAGTGAAGAAGTTTAATGACGTTGAATAGTTGCTGGTCAAATCTCGTGTCCGGTGCTGGCGTTGCGTAGTTGGTGGTCTAGTCCAATGTCTGTGGTAGTAGTAAAGGCCAAGAGTGTCGGAAGTAAGGGTAGATAGGAAAGCCCAGCTAGCGCCCAGTTGGCAGACAAGAATAAATGGGGATGCGACTCTATACATAACCCGTCCAAGCGCCCTGGCCACAATAGTTTCTCCTCCTCGTCGTCCTTCTCTCCAGGTTTCGGCGAGAAATCGCCGGGTTATATGGAAAGGACGTGTAAACATTAACTAGTCCTGGAAAGTAATAAAAATCTCAAGAAAATTAAACTGAGTATAAAAATGTTCACAAAGTGTATTTTGACTAGGTTCGTAACATTGAAAAAACTAAAAAGTCAATAGGCTTATCATGAAACTAAATGAACTTAAATTGCAGGAAGTGTGGCAACGCAATGAAGAAAAGATTGTAATAGGATTAGGCAGTAGTAACACCATATGGAAATATACACTTTCCTTTTCACTAAGAGAGTGAAAAATAAATCTATCTATCTATCTATCTTCTCTTATACACATACTTCCTTTCCTTTCCTTTTATTGTTCCTATCCTCGGTAACTGACAGAACCCGGACATAGCTTATATAGGTCAGTGAATGTCATAAAAATATCAACCAACGACAACACGTCCCGCCAAAAATCAAACGGAAAACACGTGTTTGTCAGGCCCAATATAAAGAAGAAAAAATACCACGTGCGCACAAGGAGAAGAAGTGGTAAATTGGTTCGATGTAGCAGTTCGAGACGCAAGGGTTGGAGATTCATCGGATCTTGAGGTTGACCGGATGTAGAACTCCAGAAGTAAAAGAAAAAGAAAAGATGAATTTAACAAATTAATTTCAGTCAACCAAAAACACAACGACCCTGTACGAATTCTCAAATCGCAAAAGAACTAAGACGATAGTCACCCACTTTAACCACTGTAACCACATGGAGTCGACAATAAAATTGTACTAAAGACAATAAATTTTGCCTTTACTTATGTATTAGCCCTACCTTCATTATCTATAAGGTCAAAGTCATGAAGACATAACGACAGCCCTTAGTCACGTGGGCGGAGTAGCGAAGGGCTACGATAGGCTTAATCGGACTAAAAAAGCAATATTTTTGTTGATGTTACAATACATGCATAAGAAGTAAGCGAAATATAAAACACCTTGGTTATAAATAATTATGCATAGGTAGGAAACGCTGGAAATAATTTTTTTAAAAAATCTATTTATGTGTCTAGGTACCTAAATAAAGCTGTGAGAGCTGGTTATAAAGGACCGTGGGTTTACGTGTTGTTAAATTAGGAATACGTATGTTTATTCGTGTTAGAAGAAGATCCAACTACAAGAACATAGCGGACTCAGAGATTGAATCCACCATGAAGAAGTGTAAAGAAGACCAACACGACCGATATATATATATACAACAATTATATGTATTAAACAACAAAATTTACAATGGACAAAGACATTAACATTTGTGTTTGTGTGTGAACGTAAAGAGTTTATATTTTGGTGAATGTTCGTATGTATGTGTATGTGTGTATAATGTTCATGGTGTTTCCCACAAATGGGAAGTATGTTCGCTGTGAAAAAGAGAACGAGGCAAGAAATCGCCCAGTATTTATAGTGTAGGGAGAGCGTCTCCTAGTGAACAGTTTGGACAATTAAGGAGGAGTTAACTCCGACATGGTTGAGTATTTCTTTTCTTCATTTTTTTAATTTTATGTTTCACCTGGATAGAGGTAGAGGATTACGTTAAAGCGTAGCTTATATGGATAGAAGGGGAAAATAACGGTTAACTCTCTAGACTTGAACAGGTTAAGATTGTAGTGACCGGGGAAATATCCTCTTCTTGGGAGTCTGTAGTTTTCACTGCCCTGTGGAACATTCATGTGGCCCCAAAACGTATAATATCCATTCATCAGTCAAGCACTATTGTGGGTGACTTCACATTAATTTAACTTTGATAAGAAAACAGGACTCACGCAAGAAGAATAACCACAAGACATTGTTGCACATAAAATATATGTATATTAATAAGATGTACAATATCAAACAATGATGTGAAAGAAAACCTGCATTTAAGTAAGAAAGGTTGAATTAATCAAGAGTTGCTTCTCTTTGTCTGAAATTTAAGAGGTCAGTGAGAAATAATTATTTGGTTGAAAGTTCACTGGATAAATGTTTATGAGTGTTTCATGATATGATTGTTCTTATGATATTGCTGTTGAGAAGTATTGTTGTGTTAAAAGAAGTTTTTAGTGAAGGTGTACAAATTATCATCAGCATGTGGGTGTGCGTAGTTAGAACTGGAGTCCCAACTATCGTAGATTCGTTTAGCAGTTGAGGTCTCATTGAAATGAGAAAAATCTTGGCTTAAATAAGCGGCTATAGGCTCCGATTTGTTGCGCGGGAAAATTTATTCTTCACGTGCAAACGATCTGATTGGTTGGCATCGATCAATCAGCGAGCGAGCTTTGGGAAGGCTTAAGGAAGCTTCTGTGAGCCACTTCTCCCAAAAGTGCACAAATTTGACTACTTAAAAATTAAAGCGATTCCAAAATTATCGCATTACTGCGATTTGTAAATTGCCTGTAGAAAATATATTAGTGATTTATTAGCCAATGATCGTTCGGCACTGTACATGTGATTTTGTGTTTGTATGTATATGTTCGTGCGTAAGTAGGTTCGCACACTATCGTGATTTGGGCGATAATGTCTCTCCATATCTTACTGTTCTTTGTAGCTCTTGAAGTTAGTTAAGGGAAGGCTCTCTAGTGACTCTGTGTCTAGTGACTAGTCTCTAGTCTGATTGACTGTTAGTGTTACTTTTTAGTTTATTATTTTTTAGTAGTACTTTTATTTGTAATGAGTTCAAGCCTCCCTGGGTGACCCATATTTGTGGCCTTGTGCCAAGTTTAGTAAATAACAATTACATTTTTTAATGCCATTTTTGTGATGTCCGCAATCATAACTCTAGTTTTCTTTAATATCTCTGAAGTGCTTTGCATTGTACATTAATTCGAAAAGGCTAAGTAAGAAACAAAATTTTCGTAAAAAACGGCTTGAAAAATAAAAATTGAATAAGAATATTTTTCTGATTTTAATTATTTATTCAATTGTTTTGTTTGCTTCTTTTTTCAAGGGGAAATTTAAAAAAAAAATATAAACTGAAATATAAATTTAAAAAAATAAATGTACTCTTTTTTACGAAACAGTGGCTTTGTGTATGTGAAGATGACTTTTGCTGGAAAGCGATATGGCGTATTCACGGCCAGTATGAACAAAGGTTGGC